TCGCGGATTGTAGTTGTCATCATTGTTTCGCATAAAATATCGATCATCTGTACGTAACCGTTTATTATCATCATTTTCTATGTATATTATTATTCTATTGATGCGTCTCTCCTAGTTCTTCTATATGTATATCCGCTTCTATACATCTCTTTCACATTTCAGAGGTATATAGAGTTAGGTTTATTTGATACAATAGAACAGTTATTCAAAGCCGATTACATCGATAAAATGTTTAAGATTAAATTAATTTGCACTTCATTGTGTATACAAATTGTTAATAAATGTTGTTCATAATTTCATTTATTTTCTATGATGCCTTAAAAAAACAAGTAGGATAAAAATTAATTTTTTTTTAATGTAAAAGAGATATTTAAATTAAGCAATTAACTTTAAGTAATAGACGATTCAGTATTGTAGTTTGTTCTTTTAATTACAAGAAAAAAATTTTTTAAATTATTAAATAAAGAAGCTTTATAAAGATCAAGTTAATTTTAATCAAATTATAAATAAAAAATAAAAAAGATATCCTTTATCCTATTATAAAAATGTATTTCGTTCGCAACAATATAATATAGGTATAAATATTTATAAAAATATACATACATATATATAATTATAATTACAAAAATAATTTCAACAAAAAATAATACTTAATCTTTGAGTCGAAAATATTCTAAATGCATTACTTCAGTAGCTAACGGTGTCTGTGACATACAAGACGATTAGCAACGCAAGCTTATAAGTTGGCGACGATAATACTTACCTACCGTCACGCATCATGGATGAAGTCATTCGCGCGGCTGACTGATGCAATAAACTAACAACATCCTGCAATTAAAGTATTTGCTCTAATAATGCACCAGAAGATCCGGCACGGTAAATTATCAGTCACAGATGATGAAATCCAGATAGTCGATTTTTCACCTGACTTTTGTGTGGATATAAAGTTTTTGATTGAAATATGTTAACTCAATGTTCTATGCAATTTATGCTTATTTTAAATTTTATTATTTTAAAAATCGCTTTATACATCGATTTAACAAAAAATTTGAAAAATTATATCCCATTGTATTTGCCGAAGTTGTTGACATCCTCGAATATTTTATTGCCTTTAAGTAATGAATTGGAAAATGAATCGGCTCCAAGACGTGTGTGTCGCAATTCGTTTTATATATTTTTGACAAAAACACAATATTTTTTACAAAAACAGTTATGTGAAAAGTCTGACTTAATTGTGATTTAAGAATAGATTTTTAACACATTCAAAAAAAAAATATATGTTTCTCATAATTATATTATTTCTATTCTCTGATATGACAATGCTGCGCGACAATCTTTTTGTATTGCACATTGATGCAACACTTTATGCAACACAAGATACAGAAGAATATTCGCTTCCTTGAAATTAATCTTTTTCAAGCTCGAAATTTTATTCTTTAATTAAAATTTATTATTAATTAATTAAAGTATTGTATAATTTATTACACATTTTATACATGTATTAAATTACGTAATTATTGAATTATAATACAAATTATATTTCCATTTAAAAACGTATTAAAAAATCGAATGGAATTATCGTCTTATATTATAAGGCTAACGACTCCACAAAACCAAGCGCAAAGTGTGCATTAATAGTTTGTTCATCGAAATGTAAGGAATATTCGGCGTACAATTTCTGTAATACTGTGTATTACGTTATTATTACATGACAACCCTTTGCTTCAAAATGCTCTCGTGCACTAATGCCCCCTGAAGAAATGGATGTAAAGTACATAGCAACATTCACGTTTCTGCACCGCGGGTACAATTTATGGTGCGTGTCCATGCTACATCCATTTTTCAAGACTGCTGGGGATTTATTCTCGGAAAATTGCGCATTCGAAAATTATCCTATATATATATATGTGTATGTCCTCTCAGATTACGGATATTTCCGGCGAG